AATTATTATGATGGGTTGTTTATTGATTATCATATTATTGTTCCTTGCTTGCTAACTTGATGTTGTATTGATTATATACGCACTTAATATCCGATAAATTTAATCCGTTTCTGAATAGACTCTGCACTAGTTCCGACATCCGAAACAATCCGCATCTGTACACTATATGCACCCGCTTAAAAAATATGGTTTAAGATATGATATGACCACTATTCGTCCGAATCCTCTTCATTTTTATTATTATATTCTTGTTAGTGTACATACTTGACATATGTTAGTCCATTTTTACTTGACATACGACAAGTTTGATGTACATACATTAAGTATTATATTTCTGTTTTTTCAAATGGTACGCATGGAGTCCCATATGTTAGCGTACATACTTCACATGTGTTAGTCCATTTGTACTTGACATACGACAAGTTTAGAATTAAAATCTCAGGAGACTTAATGTAGGCACACCAAGCACCATCGCATGTGGTTGATACAAAGTCGACTTTGAGGGAATCTACCTCCTTTAACACTGATATCTTGCAAAGGTTCTTAATTATTATAGGATATCATGAATACACACACACACACACACACACACACATATATATATATATATATATATATATATATATATATATATATATATATACATATATACACACACAGACACATATATATATACACATATAGATATACATATACATATACACATATACATATACATATACATATATATATACATATATATATATATATATATATATATATATATGTGTGTGTGTGTGTGTGTGGAAAGGAAAATAAAATATATTATTGTATCTGTGATTGCGGCCATACAGTGCTAGCTGGAATGGCTATTTGCAGATTAAAAAAAATCGGTAATGATGCAATCTCTGAGTAATGTGTAGGGGTGAAAACGGATTGGGTAATATCCGATCCGATCTGATCTGATCCGCTTTGAATCCGTTCGAAATAAGAATATGGTATGGGGTTTCAGAAATCCGGCGGATATGCATGTAGATGTGGATAGTATGATGCAGACGCAGATGAGGATACGGTATCTCTAAAATCCGGCGGATGCGGATTATCCGACCTTTCTATCAAATTATCCGATAGGTCGTTTGCCAGATAATCCGAAATTATCAAAACATGTAACCACTCTATCTATTGCATATAACATAAGTTGGTCCATCCAATAGCCTAATTCATCAATTAACATAGATTTCTCAGTCCGAGGCTTTTACTGTCTCATGTCACCCTTGTGTAGCTGTATTTTTATATTATGGACATGATGTATTCATATTGTTTAGCACTTAAACACATAATTATTATGATGGGTTGTTTATTGATTATTATATTATTGTTCCTTGCTTGCTAACTTGATGTTGTATTGATTTTATACGCACGTAATATCCGATAAATTTAATCCGTTTCCTAACAGACTCTGCACTATTTCCGACATCCGAAACAATCCGCATCTGTACACTATATGCACCCGCTTAAAAAATATGGTTTAAGATATGATATGACCACTATTCGTCCGAATCCTCTTCATTTTTATTATTATATTCTTGTTAGTGTACATACTTGACATATGTTAGTCCATTTGTACTTGACATACGACAAGTTTGATGTACATACATTAAGTATTATATTTCTGTTTTTTCAAATGGTACGCATGGAGTCCCATATGTTAGCGTACATACTTCACATGTGTTAGTCCATTTGTACTTGACATACGACAAGTTTAGAATTAAAATCTCAGGAGACTTAATGTAGGCACACCAAGCACCATCGCATGTGGTTGATATAAAGTCGACTTTGAGGGAATCTACCTCCTTAACACTGATATCTTGCAAAGGTTCTTAATTATTATAGGATATCATGAATACACACACACACACACACACACACACACACACACACACACACACACACACACACACACACACACATATATATATATATATATATATATATATATATATATATATATATATATATATATATATATATATATATATATATACAGATATACACACACACACACCGGCAAAGGGCCGATGAATTATGGACCCGGGGTGGGGTGGGGCTTGGAGGGGGGAGGGGAGGGGGAAGAGGGGGGAGTTCGCCGTCTTTAAAGAGATGGCCATGGGAGGCAGCAGCCCGGCGGTGGTGGCGGATTGGCCGGGCAGCGAGGCGGCGGTGGCGTCGCTGAAGCCGCGGGGTCGGGAGCGGGCAACGGGCCGGTACAGGCGGCGGGGGCAAAGCGGAAAGAGTGGTAGGAGGAGGCGGCCAGTGGTGGCGCCCCGCCGCCGGCGACAGGGAAGACGACGAACAGCTCGTCGCCTGCGGCTTGAGGCAAAGGAGAGGAGAGGGAGGGGGAAAGGGAGGGGAAGGGGGCTGCGGGGGGGGGGGGGGAGGGGGGGCTCGCCGGCGCTGTTGACACTTTTCGGCCAGCTGGTGAGACCGGGCGGCGGCGTGCTGGGGCGGTGGCGGAGGTGGAGGGGGGGGGAAGCGCTGAGGAGCGGCGGCGTGAGGAATCGGGAGAGGAGAGAGGATTTTTAGGGTTTAGTTGTCTGCACGAATCTTAAAGCAATCGGGTGGTCCAAAATTTACAAGATTTGTAAGGGGATTTTGTGTCAAATGATCTATAGACAGTCCATGTATAAAACCCACTGCCATGCATGTGTTGTGAGTTGAGTAACGCACTAACGTAACGACGGTCGATGGCCATGGAACTGTCCTTCACCGTGCACCGCCGCGAGGCGGTACTCGTCGGCCCATCGGTTTCGACACCGTGCGAAACCAAGCGCCTCTCCGATATCGACGACCAAGAGTCCCTGCGCTACCACGTTCCCGGCCTCCTCGTATACCGTGGTGGTCAGCCTCCGGCGCCATGTGTCCGCGACAATGACCCGTCGGGCATCATCCGCGCGGCGCTGTCGCGGGCGCTGGTGCACTACTACCCGCTCGCCGGCAGGCTGAGAGAGGTGGAAGGACGGAAGCTGGTGATCGACTGCAGCGGCGAGGGGGTGGTGTTCGTGGAGGCGGACGCGGACGTCCGGCTGGAAGAGATGGAGGCCGCCGCCGCTGGTGGTCACGGGCTCAGGCCGTCATTCCCCTGCGTGGATCAGCTCGTCCCCGACGTGCGATCATCAGGCCGAGGAGGCAGCGTGCTCAGCTGCCCGCTGGTGGGAATCCAGGTGACACGCCTCCTCTGTGGTGGCTTCATCGTGGGGACCGCCGTCAACCACAGCGTGTGCGATGCTATGGGTATCGTCCAGTTCCTCAACGCCGTCGCCGACATCGCCGGTGGCCTCCCTGCGCCGGCCGTCCACGCGACATGGTCGCGTGAGCTGCTCGATGCACGCAGCCCTCCGGCGCCGGCGTTCCCACATCGCGAGTACGACATGATCGACATCCTCCCTGGAGGCGGCAGGGAGGCCGACAACATCGTTCGATCCTTCCTGTTCAGCTCCACCGACATCGCCGCGCTTAAGGAGGAAGCACTACTGCCACACCCCGAGCACCGCCTCCGCGGCGGCAGCAGCACGGCGACGAGCTTCGAGGTCCTCGCGGCGTTCCTCTGGCGCGCTCGCACTGCGGCGCTGGAGGTCCCGGCGGACGAGGAGGTGCGCCTCGTCGCCGTCGTTGGCTTCAGCAGGATCGCCGCGCTGGGCCTACCATCCGGCTACTACGGCAACACATGCGCGTACCCCACGGTGGTGATGACCGCCGGGGAGCTGCTCCGCGGTTGCACGCTGGGAGACGTGGTGAGGCTGGTGCAGGAGGCGAAGGCGGCCGTCACCGCCGAGTACGTGCGATCCACGGCCGAATGTCTGGTTCTGCGGCGGCGCCCGCGTTTAGCCAGGACCAACCTCTTCGTCGTTACCGACGTCCGACGCGTGGGGTTCGACCGCGTGGATTTTGGGTGGGGCGACCCGGTGTACGGCGGCCCAGCTCGGGCGCTTCCCACGGTGAGCTTGCTGGTCAACGTCAAGGGCAGCAGCAATGTCGTGGGTGCCGTTGTTTCATTGCCATCGCTCGTCATGGGGAGGTTCTCGGCTGAGCTGGAGAGCTTTCTCAACACTTAGGTCATATATACTCAATGACCCCACTAGCTACGTACTGCACACCTGCATGCTACCACACAATAATTCATCTGTACGTTAGGGACGTACGGGTGGTAACCCAAAAATACTTTTAACTTTTACTACTAGACTATTCTATGCACGGGAAAAGCTTAATGATCGAAGGAAAAGCTCTTCAATTGCTAATGTTATGAGATCTGTTCCGCTAAATATTTTTTAAGTAGGGTTTTAGTTGGTCAGGACCTAGCAAATTAACATGAATTATGTGTTTCTATTGTACATATTCAGTTACCAAAGGTGATTCCATTTCATCGTCGTTCTAAATAATTACTGTCACACGCAATGACCTTTATCGTCACAATAACCTCTTCTGGAGCTTCACTTTGACTGCTCCAGCAAACATTATTGTGTTGCGCAACCTCCATTGGAGTTTGTTTCACCTCCATATGTTTGTCTATCTGATTCCAAAAACATATGTTTTCTTCTACACCAGTATTACCAGACTATACCCATTCTCCTTACTTTAGCCACAAATTTTCTCCAACTTCTGGTAGATGCAAGATCTACTACTCTCCCCTGCCATCCATATTCTCCTCTTACTAGCACACAACTTTTATGATAATTTTTTCCAACGCTGCATCTACCTGGAACATATTATACAACCACCCTAACATGTCTTTCGACACCAACTGCTCCAGTGTATTCACGCTAGTAACATATTATACAACAACCCAAACATGTCGTTCAAAACCAACTGCTCCAGTGTACATTTAGGCTAGTATAAACAAAGGCATATACGGTCAATCCACCCTGCTATCACAAATTTGTATAGGAGCATTGCTATAATATATACGAACGACCACATCACATGACACCTAATAAAACATGACAAATTATCTTACTATGTTACTACCCAATAACTTCACCCTTTGGTTACGTTCTTACTCTAACATAAAATAACTTAATTCGTCACTCCTTATGAATTTCTACTAATACTCTATTTTTATTTCTACTTAGTGATCACTAGTTCACTACTTGAAAATGCATTGCTACTCACCTCAAAGTAATACGTACTAACCTAATACTAACTTCAACGTGCTAAAAATTTAGCATTCAACAATGAGAAATGATTATTAAATCACTATCGTTGTAATTTTCTGGTTGCTGCTCTCTCCTGCACCCACCTTTCTCTCCGGCCGCGCAGCTCTCTCCCATGCAACGGACATGGTGCCCCGGCGACGGAAGTGGCGATGTGGTCCTCGCCTACTCCGAAAATAAACCCAGGCGAAGGGTGTGTGGGGGGGGGGGTGGGGGGTATAAAGGGGCCCTATTGAACGCCCATTGTTCGACAGGGACGGTGGCTGGGACATGTTGAACAGCCGCAGTTTGACAGGCCCTGCCCGCTACTCCCATTGTTCGATAGCCTCCACCTGTCGAACAACCACCATTCGATAGGGTCCGGTCAAACTACAACAGATCGACATGACCCTATTTTGGAAAAATTATCTGGGCAACCACCATTTTTTCGATTTTCCACTAAAATAATAATATTTTCAAAATAAATTCACTGTCTTCAAGCGGTAGGACACAACCTCATAAGGCTTGGTGCCATGCACCCACAACTAAGTTGCTCGGGAATCCAGCTCAAAGGTAGTTTGTATACAGGGACTAAACTTTATTCTCTATCACATCAGATGTTTAAACACTAATTTGGAGTATAATAGGTCGCTAGGAATTAACAGCTACACGGTGTGAAGCCCGGGCAGCCGCCCGGCCTGCTTAGGGAGCTTACCCTGCCACTGCCTCACGCCCTCACATAATTTTCTCTATTTTGGTTTAGGTTAGCATGGACCAGATAAGTTATTGTGACGGAACACAACTTGTTTTATCTATTTGTATCCACCTTGCCAGTTCATATGCCGTGAGAATAATTTGCTCATTTTCTTACAACTAGGAAGAAGTCCCACGGTCTACTTATTTATTATTTTTTAAAAAAACTAAAAGATGTCATATTTCACTATTTATATTCATGGAAGGAATATCTATACCGTGAAATACACAATAGAGTTTCAAATAACAAATGATAAAATATCTCTCGTATTCAAAAAAAAAAACACTATCCGGGTTGTGTGTAAATTCATCTATCAGCGCTACTTATTGTCATTGTTTTGACAGCTGGGTGCGTTTTAATAGATGGAATTGCATATATAAAAAACCTAATCTGTAAAAGGAAAAAGTACGAATTACACCCCCGAACTATTGCGGTCGACCGAATTACCCCCTGAACCATAAAACCGGACATTGCTCACCCTGAACTTTGAATACCGGACGAATTATCCCCCTCGACCCAATCCATAGCGGTTTTTGCCTACGTGGCGTACGCGTGGCATCCAGTCAGCATTTTCTCTTTTTTTTAATGGTGGGGCCCACCTGTCATCTAACTCTCTTCCTCTCAATCTCTCTCCCTATCTCTCGGCGTGCACAGCAGCGCGTGGCGGCGGTCGGGAGGGGACGCGGGAAGACAGCGCGCTGGCGCGGGAGACGGGCTTGGCGCCGGGGGAGAAGGCGGCGTTGGCGGTGGCCTTGGCGTGGGCGACGGCAGAGGGCGGCGGCGCTGAGGAGGTCGAGGTGGACGGCTACGGCGGAGGGGGACGGCGAGGAGGCGGCTCGATGTTGGACCTGAGGAGAAGGATGTAAGGGAGACTCGCGATGGCAGCTGTCCGGTCCGTCGTGACCTCAATCCGCAAACTCCCGTCACCGGCGCCGCTTGATCCGCCGTCATCGTGGTCGCCACCTCCCCGCTGCCAGCCGGTTCCCTCTCCCGCGCCCGCGTCTGCCGCCGACTTGATCTACCCAGCCGCGCCAGCGCGCCCGCCGCCGCTCGGTGTGCACCCCCCCTCCCCTGTGCACGCCGTTCGCGCGCGCGTTCGAGCTCGCCACGGAGCTCTCGCTCCTGCGGTTCGTGCGTTCGTTTAAATTTGTTAATGCATCTCTCTGCTTCCTTGCATTCGTTTAAACGTCCTATATTGCACTTGCACTTGCACCGCATGATCATTTATTTGCTTATGATATGTGCGCCCGATCATATATATGCATGATGAACAAATATATGTAGTAGTAGTAGCTAGGAGAATATCCTGTGATATATATTAACCCTACTATCTGATTGATTTTTCAAATGATTTTTTCCGTCCTTAATTAAATCTCTAAAAAACAAATTCTTCTGTCCATCTCCGCCGTAGCTGCAGGTAGTGGAGGAGGGAGCAAGAAGCCGCCAACGGAAGGAGGTGGTCGCCGCGGACGGCGTGCATGGCACCGCGAACAGCGGCGCGGACGGTGTGGACGGCGCTGGCCAAGGATAAGCCCGCCACGCCAGAACACATCGCGGGGAGGACGCGCACGCCGTGGTGCAGACACAGCCGCTGCCGTCGCGAGGCCGCCGCGCGCACGCAGGACCGCGCCAACGCTGCCGCACGTGAGCCTGCCATCATCGCCTAACGGATGTCGCCGCAAGACCCGCGACGGATAGAGGAATAGCGAGAGAGAGAGAAGAGAGAGGGGAAGAGGGGAGAGGGGAGATGAGAGAGTTAGATGACAGGAGGGCCCCACCATTAAAAAAAAGAGAAAATGCTGACTGGATGCCACGCGTACGCCACGTAGGCCAAAACCGCTCTGGATTTGGTCGAGGGGGTATTTCGTCCGGTATTCAAAGTTTAGGGTGAGCAATGTCCGGTTTTGTGGTTCAGGGGGGTAATTCGGTCGACCGCGATAGTTCGGGGGTGTAATTCGTACTTTTTCCTCTGTAAAATCAAAGGTGTTTTTTATTATTATTCTGTGATGAACATTGGGTATTGGAGATTATTGGTTTTGTTATTTGGAATTTATTTTCAAAGTGGTTTTGGAGATGATTGGATTTCACAGGTGAATATACAGGACATCGCTGTTATTTCATGTGACCGGTCAAACCGGGCAGGTGTTGCCGGTCAGACCGGCGGTGATCGAGCGGTCGGACCGGCCAGCCCGCGGTCTGACCGGCCGACGCTGTGTCGGTTTCAGTTTCGGGTTGTTTATTTGGATATCCGTGATTATTTCATGATTATGACTTCTATATGGATACTATACGTATGTAATACTGTTGTTTGCTACTAATAAGTCAAGTTGGAGATAGCTTGGTCTCGGAATATGGTTTCTTTGTTTGTTTCATGTGTAGGTGACTCGATGTCTCGGGAGAGTATTTGCGGTGATGGACCGGGAGTCGGCTTGGGGATAAGACGACGTCCGTGGTGGTCAGAGATCATGCGGGATACTTAGGCTAGAGTTGATGTACGTGGTTGATGGAGATTCCATATGGCATACGATGGAGTTATTGTGTGCGTATGCGGAGTCGAATTTGGAAGGAGTCCGAATTTGGTACGATTGGTTATGTAAAGTTTGTTTCTTGTACTAGAGGGTTTCCTAAGGTGTTTAGAACTCCTAGTATGAGTTTGGTTCGTGGCTTTAGGCTGCCTACCTCATGTATAAATAGAGGGGGAGTGTGAGGCTTCCCGGTATCGCTTTTGAGAGCAATTGACTTGAGTTTTAAGTTAGGGTTTTGAGTTTAGTCGAAATTTTTGTAAGGAGTGCTGTTGGTGCACTTTGTAAACATAGAGAGAAGTAATAAAGTCGTCATCCACTTTAAGAGTTCTTCGATTTGTGTTTCACCGGGTTTCGACGGTCCAACCGGCGACTCACCAGCGGTCAGACCGACGGTAAGGCGGCGGTCAGACCGGCGGGAGCACGGCGGTCAGACCGGCGGCGGCGACAGGCGCGGCAGGCGACATCGGCGGTCAGACCGGGTGATCTATACCGGTCAGACTGGCGGCATCCACTCGGTCAGACCGGCAGATCAATCTCGGTCAGACCGATCTCCATCGATTTCGAGGGTAACTTTTATTTCCGCTAAAAGTTTTCGGTTTTTGGCTATACCAACCATTCACCCCCCCCCCTCTGGTTGGCTTAGTTCTTGCTATTCGATCCTACAAGTGGTATCAGAGCCTTGTTTTCTTCTTTGGATTTTTATTGATCTAGAGTTTTTGCCATGGCTACTCCTGCTAAGTTTACAACTAAGCCTCATATTTTCAATGGAACGGATTTTTCTCATTGGTGTAGTAGGATGCAATCTTACATTATGGCTGAAAATTATGATCTTTGAAGAAAAGTTTCTCATCCTTATTTGATTCCTGAAGCTATTAATACTGCTGCTGAAAAAGTTGCTTTTGAACAAAATTGCAAAGCCCGCAACATTCTTTTGAGTGGTATTTCTCGTTCTGATTATGATCGTGTTGCGC